TTCCTTGTCTAAAGTTAATGTGTGTCTTATCGTCCGGAGCATCTTATAGTGCGAAAATGGTAATTAGATTTATTCTGAGTTCAGAAATGTGTTTTGTTACATTGCTTTGTTAAATGAGGACCCAGATTATTGGGGGCAATATGCTGACTCTTAAACTGCTTAAATAGGGCTGTAAAGCACTGTAAAACGGCATGTAAATCCAAGTGCTATTGCTTTCAAAGCCTACTAATTGTATTGGCACAACTTCAATTCCATACATATATCTTGAAATACTGAAGATACTATATTTTATGCTAATGTAGGGTACGTTACTTGAAAAGACTAACTTGGATAGCAGCAGTTGACAAAATTCAAGTTCTAATTCGATTTGTTTGTGTTTCAAGAAAAATTGAATAGTCAAGATAGTTGACAGTATTAAATGAATCAGAGCAAACAAAAATTCTAAAATATAAAAATAAATACTGTATGATATACACCACACTACACAATACAGATTTGATAATTGAGTGGTGACTTAGAAGGTGGTAACACTTAGCCAGTCTTGGCTGATTTCATGCAAAACAAAGTTAGCTATGATTATATGGAGGATCATTAGGCATTCCTAAATTGAAGTGGTTTCTAAATTGAAATGCTTGGCGGGGGGGCAGGAGAAGGCAATAGCAAATCATTTCTCTAACACTACAAAGAAAATTGAATAGTGCAATAATTGAATAGAAATTATTACATCAGTTGGCTTATTTGTATACTGGAATCTAAATCTTCATTTTATATCCTTTATTTCTTACAGGAGAATATAAGTTCTGAAAATCCCTTAACTGTACTTAACAATTAAATTTTTATTTCTTTATAATCAGAATGGTACAGATTAAGCACACCTACTTTTTCAGTTCGTAAATGTGTAAGTGTAAATGAAACTAGCAATTATTTGAGGTTGATTACAATGTTTGCTTATGGTTTTGATATTTGGTAAGGGAAAATGCACTACTCAGTTCTTCTGTCTTTTTTGCTCCTTTATCAGAATATTCAGAAGCTGTTGGGTCTGGCTCCTTCCCGAGCTGCCACCAAGCAGGCTGGAGGATTCCTTGGCCCCCCACCTCAAGCTGGGAAGTTCTCCTGAAATAAGAAAAATAATTTTATCTCTCTTGCCAACAAAAATATTTTAGAAATATTCAGATTTTTCAGAAAAGTTTCTAAAAATATTTGGATACCCAAGATATCCAGTAACATATGTGTTTTATGAATTGAACCAAGTTGAACAAATATCTTAGATTAACTTTCAGTTTCCAGGATGGAGAGAAGGTACTTTCATAAAGATCTTAAAGTCTGGAAAAACTTGTAAGAATACATATTGAAATTAAAGATGGTGCAGGGATTCATATAAAGTTGGGTCTTTTTAAAAGACATGATTCCACACGTATTGATAAACAAAGAAGAATTTCCATTATCCTTCACTATTTAATTTGTCTTCCCTCTTGCTGCAATTTTTCAAATGTTAATTTAGTCCAACATTAACTGGATTTCTCTAAGAATTTATAAAAAAGATTATACATTGTCATTCAGTATTTGATATTAATGGATAATGGAGACGCCATTAAATTATGACAGAAAATTTGCCATGAGACACTTAATCTACATTAATTATTTTTATTTTTATTTATAGAAATAATTACAATTTTTCGTCACAGCATATTTTTGTTGATTTGTTTTTTGTTCCATTGTATTTGTTCTTGTTTATCTGGCAATTCACTAGAAAGGTGAATCTGCTACAGATTGGTGAACGTCATTTGCAAATGTGGATATCCCATGCTATTCTAGGTTCATTTATAAAGATACTGAAGAATATTGACTCCTGGAAATTGCATTCATTATTTCCCTCTAGGGTAGTACAGAGTTATTGATGAGTACCTTTTGGGTATAATTGTTCATCCAGATGAAAATCCATTAGATTGCAGTTCCCCCTAGCCCATATTTAATTAACTTGTGACAAAAATATCAAACTATCAAACTACAATCAAGGTACACTGCATCCACATTTGGTCTATCAAAATATTCATTTCACTTTTTAAATGATATGATTAATGTTGCTACTCTAGAAATAGTAGCATTCTTCTCTGGTTGCTTGCAGACTGGCTACTTGATAATATTTCCTAATAGCTTTCCTATTACAGATGTTTAGGAGAAGCATGGAGGCTATAGATTGCCTATTTTTTGCCTTAGAAGTTGCCCTTAAATCACTCACTCTAGTGACATGTTCATATTAGCTGCAGCTCCCAGGTTGCCAAAAAATTATTGAGTTGTTTATTCTGTTCTGTGTCATTGCTTACATAATATACCTGTTATCTAAGCATATAATCACACTTCTTCCCTAATGTAAGTATAACTCTACTAATCACACTTCTTCCCTTTGGCAATATTTTCTTTTATCCTTTATTGTATTTCTATTTAATTTATTTAGCAGCCCATCACACTTTGGCTTACCTAATTAAAACAACTCCAGAAAAGTAACCACAGGGCCATCAAGGAAGCCATAGAGCCCACTTACCACCACCCCTTACTCAGTTGCCTGGGGGAACAGCTAGGTTTCCAATGCCTTGTGAAAGGCTAACAGGATTGGGACAATCCAGATGATGCTGTTCCATAGGGCAAATGCCATTGAGAAGGCACATTTTTTTGCTCAAACAATTACATTGCTTAATAGAGGGGTCCTGGAACATACCTTTTCAAGTAGCTTTAGTGTTGCACAAGCTTTGTTCCTGTATTTTTTCTATTCAACTTTGCTAATGCTACAGAGTCCATAGAGCAAATGATTAGCCTCTTACTATTTGCCAAGAGCCCATCTCTTGATTGTAAAACAGGGAGGGGAAAGGATGCCTTGATAAGTTATTTTTATGCTGTATATGCAGGCAAGCCTACAGAAATAGAAGAAATACATTTTTAAAAAATGTATCCTACAGTGTCCCCACACACACACAATATTGTCTTAAACGTTTTATTACCACATACCAAACTGCTTTGTCTGCAGTTTGTAGAGTCTGAAGTCTAACACAGAAAGGATTTTATTGATTTATTTTTGATATATTGCAGATAGTGATAGTGATTCAGTAAAAATGTTGACCTTAGGCTAGTTGCAAATGTCAGAAGTTTCTTCTAAATTAATATTCTAGACAAAGACAATTTGGGAATATAAACTGCCTCATTATAATGGGAATTGGATGAATTCCACTACTAAATGCCACTACTACTAGTTGTTCAAAACAAATTTGAGACATCTGTGATTCCACGGTACTAGCTCCATTTAATAGCTCTGCTGATATTTCTGGATTGGTTATACTTTAAGCATTTTGTTAGAGGAAACACTGGAGTTTGGAGGGGAAATGTCCTGCTTTCCTGTTTAGATTTAGATTTAGATTTAGATTTAAAGTTTATTTATATGCCGCCCTTTTCCCTGG